TGTGTGTGTGTGTGTGTGTGTGTGTGTGTGTGTGTGTGTGTGTGTGTATGTGTGTGTGTGCGTGTGTGTGTAGTAATGAAATGTCTAAATACTAATAAATGAAAAAGTATTTTTTGTTTGTTTGTTTTGTATTAAGGTCGAGAATTACGTGGAAATATGCTTAATTATCATGAAAATAATATCAAAATGACATTTTGCCAGGTGACATGAGCCACAGTAAATGGCAGTTTTATCAATGGGATCAATAGGAAACTACATAATCCTATAAGATACTATAATCAAATATCAGCAAGACAAATTTAGTTTTACTACATCTTCTTTTTGTCTATTCCCACATGCTGGGATATAATAACTTCAATCAATCAATCCAGACCAGAAACTGTCACTATTCTGAGCGGGTCTGTATAGTTCATCTTATTCACGATATGATGCTTTATGCACTGCTGCAGTTTATATTCGCACAACACTTCCCCCTCCCAAATATTAATTTTTAGGTAGCAAGAAAATGAATTCCTTGTCAAAAACAGAATGACATCTTATTTACCAGTGTGAGCAGGGCTTCAGCATGATGCCTCAAACTCTGTCTATAGACCCTCTCCTAATTTCTACCGCTCCTTTACTTTGACGCTTCTAAAGCATTCAAACTGACAGGTCATCATATGCCACTGTAGTGAGATTCAGCTAAGAGGGGCATATGATGACCTGTCAGTTTGAATGCTTTAGAAGCGTCAAAGTAAAGGAGCGGTAGAAATTAGGAGAGGGTCTATAGACAGAGTTTGAGGCATCATGCTGAAGCCCTGCTCACACTGGTAAATAAGATGTCATTCTGTTTTTGACAAGGAATTCATTTTCTTGCTACCTAAAAATTAATATTTGGGAGGGGGAAGTGTTGTGCGAATATAAACTGCAGCAGTGCATAAAGCATCATATCGTGAATAAGATGAACTATACAGACCCGCTCAGAATAGTGACAGTTTCTGGTCTGGATTGATTGATTGAAGTTATTATATCCCAGCATGTGGGAATAGACAAAAAGAAGATGTAGTAAAACTAAATTTGTCTTGCTGATATTTGATTATAGTATCTTATAGGATTATGTAGTTTCCTATTGATCCCATTGATAAAACTGCCATTTACTGTGGCTCATGTCACCTGGCAAAATGTCATTTTGATATTATTTTCATGATAATTAAGCATATTTCCACGTAATTCTCGACCTTAATACAAAACAAACAAACAAAAAATACTTTTTCATTTATTAGTATTTAGACATTTCATTACTACACACACACGCACACACACACATACACACACACACACACACACACACACACACACACAGTTAAGCCACAATTCATACAATTAATATAATTTCATTAATTCACTGGATTATACCCCAAAAATATGGTGTTAAAAAACATATACTGTACATGTATGTCACTATGTGTGTGTTTGCGTGAGCAGGGACTTGTCTTCTGTATTTCACTCGAACACAGATTGGAGAGTTATAGAGTTGCTTTTTATTTAGCTTCTGATTTGAAGTAGTTAATAATCTGCATTTAGTTAGACAAGGATGTTCTTGTAATATTTGTTTGTAGTTGGTTGAGGGCTGGAGAGATAATTTTTTTCTGCTATCGTTATGCCATGGATGACCAGGGTTGTATTGAAGTTGATTCGACCTGTTAAAGACACTACAGTAAATCGTTCTCCCTCACGCCAGTTATGCTCTGACTTCTGTTGTATGAACACACAGTGTGTCTTGTGTGCGTGTGTATCGAGCGCTGCTCACGAGATGCATTGACACTAGATGGATTTGACAAGATATGTGACATATGGTTGATGTTAAGGAAAATCTTTATTCGTTCTCTGAACGTCAGCCATAAATCTCAGGTTTATATCACATATACACTCTTAAAAATAAAGGTGCTTAAAAGGTTCTTCACAGCGATGCCATAGAAGAACCATTTTTGGTTCCACAAAGAACCATTCAGTCAAAGGTTCTTTAAAGAACCCTCTCTTTCTTACCTTTTTATAATCTGAAGAACCTTCTTTTGCCACAAAGAACCTTTTGTGAAACAGAAAGGTTCTTCAGATGTTAAAGGTTCTTTATGGAACCATTTAGACAAAAAGGTTATTCTATGGCATCGTGAAGCACCTTTATTTTTAAGAGTGTATATCACTATATAGTTATTCATACCGAAATTTTATATACTAAATAACCATGCGGTAATGTTTTGCGGGGTATAATCCAGTGAATTAAATACTTTATAAATGGAATGTGATGTACTTCATCTC